TTAAATCTTCTATTTGCTCTTACTTCAACCTCTATTTGATCATCAGATCTGTTCCTAGGGGAGATATGTGGAGAGCAGCTGAACCAACTCTTTCTGTTTTTCATACACTGTGTTCCCCAGCATTGATGGTTTAGAGAATGGCAGGCATATTTCGAAAGGTACATTCATAGCAAGGGGATCACATGAAAGCATTAGCTTTTTCTTGTGACTATAAGGGATTTCTTTTTTCTTTGTTCTCTTACCAGGGGAAAAGGTTTGCTTTGGGTGAGCTCCCCATTTCTCAAACATCTTTGAGAAATGAATTCTGAAGTGCATTCAACCATGTCTTCAAGACTTTCTACTTAAAGCATTTGAAAGGGATTGTGGGACATTGTTCTTCACCACCCTTTCCGTCTTTGGTGACTTTAGCCAATCTATGATTTTGAAGTACTTCCTAAAGCGCTTCAAAAAGTGTCTTCATAAAAGCAACTTTGTAAAAGATCCCATATTTACAAAGTCAAAAAAAGAAATTCCCTTCATAAATGCTAACAGGGGAATTAGTTCAAACCCAAAAGTTTCCAGGAAAGAATTATTAAAACTTGATCCAACTTTTTTCTCCTATTTACAACTGAAAAGTGTTTACACACTTTAGCTTCTGGTGAATTTATAAATAAAGTTTATCAATACAGGCTTTTAAGTCATTAGGTGAAAAAAAAAAAAACCTTATATCTATAGTAGTAGTGCCCAAGCCATGAGTAGCAGAGAAAGTACAAAGAAGAAAAATAAGGTTGGCATGAGATCTCTCCTCACTTTTCTGCTTTTCAGGTCACTGAGCACACACTCGCACACTTCTAGGATCAGTTAGCTTATCTGTCAAACTGATGGATTAAAGTGAGACAGCTTTAAAAATCATCTAGTCCTTTCCCTCTATTTTACAGAAGAGGAAACTGAGACTCAACTTCTCGTGACTTGATTAGGGTCATTCATGAGGATTAAGAAAACTTTCACATCATTACCTTTACCATTTTCACTCAACTGAAGGTTAAACTTCAACTGAATATTCTGATGTCTAAAATACTGCTTTCCCAAATTAAATATATATATATGTGTGTAGAATCTATGGAGTTAATTGAAAGTGTGGTCTGTATAACTAGATAGACTCAGATTCGAATCCTAGATTGAAATCTTAATCCCAACAACTAACCAACCACATGATCTTACACGCATTTCTATAGCTTGATTTCACTACCTATAAAATCATGAAAAATAATTCCTAACCCAAAGACTATGATGAGGGAGTAAATAAGATTTTGTGGATGAGGTGCCTAGTACGTCCTATAGTGTATGTGTGTTAGTCACCCAGTCGTTTCCAACTCTTTGTGACCCCATGGACTGTAGCCCACCAGACTCCTCCGTCCATGGAATTTTCCAGGTAAGAACACTGGAGTGGGTTGCCATTTCCTTCTCAAGGGTATTTTCCCAAACCAGGGATCAAACCCTGGTCTCCTGCATTGCAGACAGACTCTTTACCATCTGAGCCACCAGGGAATCTCAGGTTTCCTGGTCCTGGAGTAGGTAGCCAATATTGTATTTTACGTTTCAGGTGAGGAATGTGTATATTTACCTTATTATTTGGCTTTGACCCTGAGACTTATGACTACGATTGTTAAAATATAATTCAATTAAATAACTTAAAATGTAATTATTGTATCTATAAAAATTATTTCTGGAGCTCAACTTGTGGCAGGTATATTGTGGTGGTTCAGAAAGAACCTATCATTCTGTCCCTGTCCTGAAAAAGAAGCGAATATACATGAAACCAACCTTGAGCCATGAAAGCCTTGATGTGATCAAGTGCTCAGTTGTATTTAACAGCCTTAAAGTGCTAAGAGAAAAAAGGAGAGTGAGATCTTGGTGAAGCTTAGAATAGACATCCAGGACTGGGTGGCAGAAATACGACTGGAGATGGCAGTGAAGATGGGGGAGTGACTAGGGGGGAAAAGAAGGTAACCCCATCGTTGGGCTCTATGTGCCTGCCATAGGGGAGAAGGACAGCTCCAAAACTGAGCACAATATACTCCAAATGCATCCATTTAATTTCTCATTCACATACCACTCTGTATTGTCACTTGACTCAGTTTTGAAGCAACTGAATGTTGACTTTGTTTTTTACCAAGAACAGGAAGGATGAGTACTGGGCTCAAAATAGCCAGATCTGGAATTAGTACTCACAACTCTAGACCATATTTCTCATTCCTTTAGCATTACTTCTTAATCATGTTCTTTAGACCATATTTCACACTTAAAGTTCACCTTTTAAAATAGAAATTGATTTCCTACTTAGATTTTCCCAGAAAACTTTGTATCGAAGCCCCCAAATCCAAGATTCTGGTCCCACCTCTGCCATTAACCAGCTGTGAAACTAAGAATGACCCACCTAGACAACAGGTGGATTGCTGCAAAGAGTGGCTCCTCCTGGGTCTGAAATTTCACAGCTCCAACAGGGACTCAGCTGACTGGAGACAGCAGAGTAACATCCAGTGTACACGGTACAGCCTGAATTTCTGACTTCCCTTCTATATAATCTAGCTCAAACTGGCCACAGTTCTCAGCCAGTATTATTTCTTTCTACCCCTTAAAAACTGAGTTCAAGAATGGATAGGAAGAATTCACTTTATGGCTCTATTGATAAATATCCTAAATCTGAATGTTAGCTCTCTGATTATTTTCATGCCCCCGATAGGTATCAGCTTCTGACAGTAATAAAATCCAGAGATAGGCTGACAATAGCACTTTAAGACAAAGCAGGAAGAGAGAAGAGCCATCGCTATAGAAAATGAGGGAGGAATTTTAACTCTCTCTCAGGGCAGTGATGGGGCTTGAGAAGAAAGGATAGAGCTCTTCCATGCTGGTGGGGACCAGTGCAGACTTGACACTTAACAGGAAAACATTTGGACTCAGTGGGTGAAGAGGGTGGGATGATCTGAGAAATAGCATTGAAACCTATACATTACTACCATAGGTAAAATAGATAGTCAGTGGGAGTTTGATGTTGGAGAAGGAAATGGCAACCCACTCCAGTATTCTTGCCTGGAAAATTCCGTGGACAGAGGAGCCTGATGGGCTGCTGTCCATGGGGTCGCACAGAGTCAGACACGACTGAAGCTACTTAGCAGCAGCAGCAGGGAGTTTGATGTACAACAGAGGGCACCCAAAGCCGGAATACGGTGAGAAGGGAGGTACAGCTGGGGGTTCAGGCTGGAGGTGACACATGTATGCTAATGGCTGATTCATGCTGATGTATGGCAAAAATCATCACAATATTGTAAACTGTCCTCCAATTAAAGTAAATAAATAAATATCTTTTTTAAAAAGCCAAGAGCACCCTCCACCCCTAACTAATCGAAGTTTAGGTGTCACCGTGGGATATTTAACTTTTGGTGGGCGGGGGCGGGGGGGAGTCTTAGCAGACATTGTGTGTGCCTGTGTTCAATCACTTCAGACTCTGTGCAACCCTATGGACTGTAACCCAACAGACTCCTATGTCCATGGGATTCTCCAGGCAAGAATACTGGGGTGGGTCGCCATATCCTCCTCCAGGGAATCTTCCCGACCCAGGGATGCAACCCTAGTCTCTTGACTCCTGCATTGGCAGGTGGTTTCTTTACGACTAGCACCACCTGGGAAGCGGGCATTAAACACATTTAATTCAGAGCCAGGTTCTATTCTGGAGCCTCGAGGGCCAGGAGTTGTGTAAAAACTTGCCCTTGGCCGAGGCTCGTCATCTGAAGCGCTTTGAGCCATGACAAGTCCACAGCCTTTCAGGACGCATCTCTGGCCGAGGACTGCCCAGCACGGCAGCAGCCAGGTCCGACTGATGCTGTCCAGGCGTAGCCCCAGGGGAAAGGTTGCTGCGCGGTCGCTAGGGACGGGAGGAGTCTGGTGGTGATTGATGGGGAAGGGACGAATGAATAAAAGTACTTGTCTAGGGACAGCAAGGATCCCGAGCAAACTGCGGAGGCTCCACGGTCAGGCATTCCCTCGGCGTTTCGTCAGAGCCAGACCCTCCCGCTGCTGAAGCGAGGCCCTCTCTGCTCCCGGGCGGCCGGGAGCCCAGCCGCGCGCCGGGGAAAGCAAGTCCCAGCCTGGTGCGTCCGGACCGAGAGGTAACCGTTCTGCTTGGTGTTTAACTCAAATCTGATTGAACCTTATCCTGGGGCTTCAGTTTGGATTACTTGTTAGGGGTGTGTGTGGGGGGGGGGGGTGTTAACGTGTAGCTACAGCAGATTAAAATGGGATTGGAGTGAAGGAGAGGGTTTGAGTGTTTGAACTCACTCGGAGGGGATAGAAACTTCCGAGTTAATCCAGATAGAGACTCTTCCAACCAGACCCAGTGGAGATGTCCGGGAGATTTTCCGGGTCAGCCGGCGCAGTCCTGGGGTGTCTGTTGGTGGGGGGTGGGGGCAGCGGAGGAGTCCGACCACAGGCAGCGGGGAAGTAAGGGGTCTGGGAGTCCAGAGCGCGGCATCCGGAGTTGTTGTGGAGGCGGATGCCAAGACTGGCGATGCCCCTGATCTCTAGGTGCCTTGATTTCCCCCGTCCCCGCGCGCCCTTGGCCGGAACATGAATACTGCTCTCTCTGCGCACACCGGGAGCTCAAAGCTTTGCTTTGGACACCCATCCTTTCCTCCCCGTCACACCCCTTCCAGGATACCCCGCCCCACTGCGAGTCATTTACCCCTCAGGGGACGCAGGAGAGGAAAAACCAGCGAAAGCTGGCTTTGGAGGGACGGTCTAGGGGCGCAGGCGGGTACCACGCGCCAGAGTTCCCCACTCCCGCGCCAACTCGACTTATTAATACTTTCGCGCGCGGAGAGTGCGGGCGCTGCTGCGCTCCGGAATAGCGGCTTGCAGGGGCGTGGCTGGGGACGCTGACCCGGGTGTCCTGTCTTCCTTCCCTTGCTGGTCTCTAGACTCGGAAAGCTGAGGAGCGGCCACCCGACTCCCTCTGGAGCAGGCAGCAGCATGCAGCCGCTGCCCAGCTTGTGCGGACGCGCCCTGGTGGCGCTGATCCTTGCCTGCGGTGTGGCGGGGATCCAAGCTGAAGAGAGGGAATTCCCGCCAGCCGGGGCCACTCAGCCACTTCTGGGGACCGTAGAGATGATGGAGACCCCGACTGAGACCTCCTGGCCCGGGAGATCCAACGCCAGCGAGCCGCGATCGTCCGCAACACCGCAGATGCCTAGAGGGGGAAGGATGGCGGGAATCCCACCGCGCACCCCACCCCCATGCGACGGACCCATAGAGATCAAGGAGACTTTCAAGTACATCAACACGGTGGTGTCCTGCCTAGTGTTCGTGCTGGGCATCATCGGAAACTCCACGCTGCTGAGAATCATTTACAAGAACAAGTGCATGCGAAACGGTCCAAATATCTTGATAGCCAGCCTGGCTCTCGGAGACCTGCTGCACATTATCATTGATATCCCCATCAATACCTACAAGGTAAGGGGTGCCTGCTGGGATCGCGATGGGAGGGTGCACCCTTAGGACCGGGAAGATGGGAAAGTCTTTGCAGGGAGGTTCCTCAAGAAGAACCACCCACCCCCCCCCAGCTCCCCCACCTCCACTCTCAGGCCCCACACCCCTGATTCCCCCATACTTCCAATAATCATTGGAACCAAACACCCTTCTGGTTTCAGTAGCCCCCTGCTAAGCCTAGAAAAAGCATAGTCCCAGACCAGCTGCCTAAATATAACTTGGGAACTTGTTAGAAATGTATTTTAACAAGCCCTCCAGGTAAAGTTTGAAAGGCACTGGTCTTGAAGGACCTTGTCCCTAAATTCAACTCACAAAAGATATATTCTCTCTGCTCAGAGATTGATGGACCATGGACTGGCAGATTGTTATCACCTGAAAGCTTGTTAGAGCTCCAGGTCCACCCCAGATTTATTAAATCAGAACCTGCATCTTAAAATACCTATGTGATTCATATGCATACTAACCTTGGGAAGCAAATAGGTTTTTAGAAAACAAATGGCCTAAGAGAAAGAGTCCCAGACAGGTGAGTGAGAAAACACAGTGCTGTGAATGACTGTATCGTATCTGGTCTTTACTGAATGCCTATGATGGGCCAAGCACCAAGATAAATGTGTTACTTTCCTTTCCTCCTTCTGACAACCTATGAGTAGATATGACTCCATTTTATCAATGATAGGATGCTCAAGATCTCACAAGGAGTAAGTGATGGAGCTGAGGAAAATCAGGCCCAATCGGTCAGGTTCCAAAGTGCAAATTGCACACCATCAGTTACTTTGTGGACAAGACCAAGAACACTCAACTGCAGTCTTCACAGTTTGAGTAGCTAACATCATTGTGTGATTACTACTGGCATCAGAGGATGTGGGCATGAAGAGTAGGGCAGGACACAAACCCTCATATGGTTTGACTCTCGCTTGCTGTGAAGCTCTGAACACATCCCAACATCTCTGGACCTCAGTGTCCTCAATTCTACAGTAAGCTGCTAGTACCCACCAACTGGAATTTTGCGGCATTGAGAAAACAGCCTAAGGGAAAGAGATGGAATATTTTAAAGGACTATGCAAATATGTAAAACTCTGCATCCACATCATAATCAGCCATAGAAAGTCACCCATCCACACAGAACCAAAAGTGTGAGGGACTCGGAATGTACCTTGGGGATTTGCCTAAAGCTAGTTCTGGGCTCAGTACAAGAGTGGGGGTGGTGGGGGGGAAGGCATGTAGGGTTAGGAAAAGGTTGTGGGGAATTCTTGAAGCTTTGGGACAGGAGAAGTTACCAGATAGGATGCTTTTAAGTTGCCTTTTATCAATCTCTGGAAATTCTAATCCCAAAAGTCACACATTAAGGAATTCTAGAGATTTTTTTTAAGATTTAGAGATAGTATTTGGATTAGAGGAGAAGGAAATGGCAACCCATTCCAGTACTCTTGCCTGGAAAATCCCATGGATGGAGGAGCCTGGTAGGCTACAGTCCGTGGGGTCACAAAGAGTCAGACACGACTGAGCAACTTCACCTTCACCTTCACCTTCACCTTTGGATTAGAAGCCAGGTCCTAGAAAGAAACACTGCCAGAAATGAGGAATAAATAGATGAAATCCTAATTTCCTGTGTGACTACCAGTTTTGATGAACTCTGAGGATTTCCTGGGAGAAGCATGGGCTGAAATGTGTCCCTTACATGCAGTCCCATCTCCATTAGAACCAAAATTAACCTATTTTAGGAGTCCTGAAGACCAAGTCTTACTGTTCCGATGTGGCAGAGGCATTCCTCAAACCTGACTTAAGCAACTTTAGAGTACAAGGTGTTGTGAAAACACTTTAAAATAAGTGATTTCTTGTTGTTCTTTCGCTAACATGTCCAACTCTTTGCGACCCCATGGACTGCAGCACACCAGGCTCCCCTGTCCTTTATCATCTCCTGGAGTTTGTTCAAACTCATGTCCATTGAGTCAGTGATGCTCTCCAACTATCTCATCCTCTGTCACCCCCTTCTCCTCCTGCCCTCAATCTTTCCCAGCATCGTAAGATCCTTCTGAAAAGGGAGATTACATCTAATTTTGCTAGTTTTGTGAAAGATTTGTTAAGGAAGGTGCCAGGAAACGCCATGTGGTGAGCCCACTTAGATATCCTCCTAACTCCTGAGTCAGCTGGCAGGTAAAATCCTGTAGGGAAGGTAGGATTGAGGGCACCAGATGTAAATCAGCTCTTCCAGGACCATCTTACTTTCTGTGCCCAGCCAAATTATTACATTCAGTAAGCCAAAGACAAGCCTGTTCCCAAAGGGGCATGCAGGTTTTCCTTCCCTTTCAAATTCTTTTACGATTTCCCTAGGAAGTTACATTCTTTTCCCTGAAACCATTAAGTCTGTTCAACCTGTGTTTCTGTTTCTGAAATAAACAAACTAATGAGTCATTACAAATCTGGCCCTGTAGTCATCCTTATTAGCTATGAACAAATCCATCACCTAGAATTAGGTCCTGTTGCTAGGTTTGCCATCACTGAATCCTACATAGTGGCCTTCAGTTTATGTTTATAATATGCATAAATATGTGCCCCTTGAGACATAATATAATAATAATGATTACCATTTATTCTGCACTACGTACTTGGTTTTGTTCATTTCAATCACTACAAGAAAGCCTATGGAGGGAGTATTGTTATCACCCCTGTTTGATGGGGAAATTGCATTTTCAAGAGATGAAGAAGTAACTTGCTTGATGATGTCACACCACCAGAAAGTGATGAAACTAGGGCTTGAACCCAAGCCTTCTGGCCCTAGAACCCATGGTCCTCCCACCCTGCACAGATTGAGCTGCTCACAGCATGACCTCCTCCAGCCTGGAATATTGTTAGGACTTCATTGGAGTATAATGGTGCAATTATGTGATACACTACCACACAGTAGGCTACTTGGGAAGCATTTTCAGTTTTAATTTTGTCATCTGAAGATTTCTATCTCCCAAAATTCCCCTCAGATGATCTATAATGTATAAAATTGATAATATCACTGTTTGTCATTCTAAAGTCTTTATTTACAAAAACACCTAATCCAGGACTAGTTAAATGCCATTTATTTCTTTAAATAATTGTGTCACTCTATAAGGAAGTTTAAAATTTTTGCATTTAGAATTTCACAGTAGTCAAGCATTATACTTCACACAAAGGAACTTAAGTGAATTATGAGTGTCATTTAAATTTAGCCTAAAAAAAAATTTAAAAATAAAAAAAATAAATAAATTTAGCCTAAAGTGAGGTACTCTAGTGATTTCTAATTTTGTTCTTGTGGAGTGTTACTAGTCTCTTGAAAATCCAGTTAATTATCTATGTTATATGCTATATAAATTAATATATAAATAGATAATTTATGTATGAAAGAAAAAGTGTTAGTCCCTCAGTCTTGTCCAACTCTTTGTGACCCCATGTCTGGCAGGATGGAATTCTCCAGACAAGAATACTGGGGTGGGTAGCCCTTTCCTTCTCCAGGGTATCTTTCCAACCCAGGGATCCAACCTGAGTCTCTCACATTGCAGGTGGATTCTATACCATCTGAGTATTATACATAGACATAATATAATATACATTCACAATTTCTGAGGGTTCATATAATACTGCAACTCATCTATTGGTTTACCCTGGGTGTATAAACTTCAACATGAATCTGTAACTTTAATCTGGAGTTCAGTAATTCTAGAGTTCAATAAAGTTGACAAACCACAAAATGTCACAGATTTGGCTGAAAGGCGTGCTCCTTGATGCAGCTGTAGAAACGGGACTGGACTTCTCAGGGAGGGGCTGCTGTGAGCACTGACAAACCTCACGGCATGTGTATCTTCTGCCTCAACTCCTTCAAGGAACTGTTCTCTGGAAACTTCTAGACAGAGTCAGTTCTCTCACCAGGGCTCCTATGTCAGGGAGGAAATCCTGATTGACAGATGTTGTGGGAGACTCAGCAAACTGAATCTCAAAGGGGGCTTCAGATAGGCAGGTAAGCATGTTAGAAATAAAACTTATTTCTCCTTCTCAGCAACACACACTGGGGCTGTCATTGTATTACATAAGAGCATCTAGATGAAAATGAAATGCAGGCATCCAAAGAGGACCTTTAAAAATATGTAAGTGTATGTGTATATGGGCTTCCCCAGTGGCTCAGCGGTAAAGAATCCTCCTGCCAATGCAGGAGATGCAGGAGACATGGGTTCAATCCCTAAATCAGTTGGAAGAAGGCATGACAACCCACTGCAGTATTCTTGCTGGGAAAATCCCATGGACAGAGGAACCTGCCAGGTTACCGTCCCTGGGGTCACAAAGAATAGGGCAGGGCTGAAGCTACTGAACACACACACGCACATATATGTATATATATATATATATATATATATTCATATGTAAATATATTAAATGTTATAAGAATGTATAGATAAGTAGATAAGTGAATATCATTGGTCACAGTACCTGGTACGAAGTAACTAAGTAATAAACGTTACTAAAATGTGTAAGAGTGTGTGTGAATAAGAGTGGAAATTTGCTTTTCAACTTTTGCCATTATAAGCATGACTACAAATAACTTCTTTGTATGGCTTTGTACGCATGTGTGACTATAGTTGAAGGATAAATTTCTAGAATTAGAATTATTGAATCAAAGGATATGTGCCTTTGTAATTTTGATAGACATTGCTATACTGTCCCCCAAAGTTATTGTTGTACTAGTTATTGTTGTATTAGTTTGAGTCACTAGTTTATGTAAGATGTTACAAAGGTATACAAAGATGTTATTTGTAGTCATGCTTATAATGGCAAAAGCTGGGGGGAAAAAAGTTTCCATTCTTATTGACACATGCACTCATACACATTCTAATAACATTTACTTGGTTACACTGTACCAGGCACTGTGACCAGTGATATTCACCTCTCTACTTATCTATACATTTTTATAACATTTAACATATTTACATATTAATATGTAT